GATTCCAACCTCCCCTGCCACAGCTCCCTGCCCTGGCGAGCACGGTCCCGTCAGTGGCCCCCAGTGCCTGGTAGCGTAGGCTCAGCTGCACACACAGGCTTGTTTATTGTAGGGTCACACAGGACTGGAGCTCCCTGGCAGAGGCGCAGCCTGCATCCGAGCATGGTGCTGGGGCGGGCACTTTGCACGGGGACCCACGGGAGTGGGTATTTATTTATTTATTTGCTGGTCTGTTCAGTCTTGTTGAAATAAAAGCAGCCTGCTCCAGGAACCGCTGCCTCACCTTTCTGGGGTGCAGCTGGGAATGGCTCCTTCAGAGAAAGCCGGGCTGGGGAGGGGGTGCTGACTGCTCAGCAGGGCTGGGGGACCCAGCCTGGGATGACAGAGAGGGTGGCATGGGCACAAGGTGGCACTTCTGTCCGTGTGGGTAGGGCCAGGGGGATAGGGAAGGGGGGCCCACTCGGGGACACCCCGCCTGGTGCCAGTAAGGTTTCTGCCTGCAGCCAGGACCCACACACAGTGAGAAGGTGAGAGGGGTTCAGTGTTGGGCTGCTCCACACCCCAGCCCTCCAGGAACCTGGACAAGTGGCAACGCATCCCCTGCCAGCTCCAAGCCCTGGCGATGGCCCTGGCTATCGGCCCCATGTCCCCACTTGGGGCCGGGGGGAACTGAGCCGATTCTCCCCTGGCTGCTTTGCCCAGAACAAGTCCTGCCCCCGTTCCCGTGACTCCGTATCAGTATCTCGGTGAAATAACAGGTCTCGGGTGCTCCACACCCCTCCCGTGCTGGCTGGCCCTGCCAGAGGACACAACACCAGCACCGGGTGGTGACAGGCCTCCTCCCCATCACAAGAGAAGTGCTCTGCTCGCCTGGGTACCAGGGCTGGCTCCGTCCTTCAGGACCAAACCCTAAACCCCTGCCAGCGTGAGACCCTTCCCTGGGAGGCAGCGGGGAAACTGAGGCACAGAGAAGCGGCTGAGGCCAAGGTCAGCTGTTCAGAGAGGACCCAGATGTCCTGGCTCCAGGCACAGATCCACGCGCAGCTACACAAGGACGGACGAAGGAGACACCGAACGGCTGCAAGCCCCCTCCCCGCTTCCTCCCCGGCTCCGGCAGAGCTCCCGAGTCCCCAA